ACAGACAGACAGACAGACAGACAGACAGACAGACAGACAGACAGACAGACAGAAGACAGCTAGATAGATAGATAGATAGATAGATAGATAGATAGATAGATAGATAGATAGATAGATAGATAGATTAGATAGATAGATAGATAGATAGATAGATAGATAGATAGATAGATAGATAGATAGATAGATAGATAGATAGATAGATAGATAGATAGATAGATAGATAGATAGATAGATAGATAGATAGATAGATAGATAGATAGATAGATAGATAGATAGATAGATAGATAGATAGATAGATAGATAGATAGATAGATAGATAGATAGATAGATAGATCTGTGTATGTATCGTTACTGTCCCATGATGTATCATGTTCCCTTCAATAGCCACCGACTTTTCTCTTACGTAGCAAATCTGTATCACTACTTCTTTTTTGGCGCGTTGGTTGTTGGTTCACCAGCGCTCGTGGATACGTGTCCTTCCTCTTGCCAAGCTCGTTCCTATAGTGGCGCTTCCTTCTTACACAGCAAGGCTCGCCGTCGAAGCAAAAAAAAGCAAACAACCTTACCCTGTCCGTGTTCTTTCTCTTAGCCGCTCCTGCACTTACTCCACTCAAACCCCGTTAACCTCTTCTTGTCTTCCCCTGTCCGAGGGACCGTAGCTCGCGATCAGGAGCAGGAAAGGAATACGCCCCGCTTCTCGGGAACCTATACAGAGCGGCGACTAAGACGCGCGTGTATAACGTATTCGGGGCTGATTGCTCGATACTTATACGCCCCCGTATCACATTTGCATTCGCGAGTACCGCGCGCCGCATCCCCGCCGTTCGCCTCGATTCCGCGCTTCTCCTCTCGCGACTTCATCGATATTTTACCTTTCCTCTCGAAAAACTCCATCAAAGGAAAGCTTAACTAACTCAGAAGGAGTCCCGTTCGAGCGCTGACAGCTGGATGGCGGGCTTGAGAGAGAGAGAGGAGACAGAGAGATACGTGTTTCGAAGAGCGCGCTAAAGGCACCAATAGCGTGGTGCTCGATCACATTTCGAAGCACATGGCGTAAGCCTAACTCCCTCCAGATGAATTTGACCTCTCGGCTACGGCAATGGCTTGTCACGCTTCCTTACGGAAGCCATTCGATGTGCGCTGCTTCGGAGATCCCGATTACGATTCGCGAGTTCATTTGCGAGTATTAAGGCCTCGGATGCTCCACCAAACGCGAAATTTGCCCGTCGACGTCCAGCGGCATGGCGGACGAGTGATGTAAAAAAAAAAATCCAACGTCAAGTGATGACGTCGCCATTCCACGTCGCCGATCGCCCCAAATTCGTGACGTCAATACGTCATCATTACATCACGTGTTGTAACGTCACACGATGACTTCATCCCACGGCATCGCAGCTTGGTTAAATGTACTCTGCTCACAGAAGCTATGCAAAATCAGGTGAGGTGCTTCGGATCTTGAAGGCCATGCATCGACGGAAAAGAAAAAGAAGGTAGCTTTCGCCTTCGAGTCGTTTTAAATGAATGCATAAGGGACCCTGTGGGTTTATTATTATTATTATTATTATTATTATTATTATTATTATTATTATTATTATTATTATTATTATTATTATTATTAGTCTTGTATAGTGAGCGATTTGGAAAAACATGCTCAGAATGAAGGGCCCAACAACCAAAGGACGAGAAGAAGGGCCCGTACGTCATTTACTTCTCGCCCTTTATTCTTCACGCTTTTCAGCCTGCGTATGTAGTTTGATTTTGTATAACTTACAAACACTGCAGCACTGTATAATGAGCTATAGCAGCAGTGAGAACAGTATATTACTACAATGACTACAAATTATAGTAATCAATCAATCCTTAGAAACACTGCATCGCTGTATAATGAGCAATAGCAGCAGTGAGAACAGTATATTACTACAAAGACTACAAATTAGAGTAATCAATCAATCAATCAATAATTTATTTAACGTGCCCAGGAACAACCATGAGGTCTTTGTGCAGGCACACGCAAAATATAAAAGAAGATAATGCAATACAGTCTACAGAAAAAAAATTTAAATAAAAGAGCGTAAACACACAGACACAAAGAAATCAGCGCAAAATGGGAAGAATAAAAGACACGACGAGAAACATAGAATAAAGGTGAAAAATAAAGGGGAATATACACAACTATGTGAAAGGGTTCCTAAAAAACGAAAAAGAGAAGAATCTGTACAGTATGAAAAACTATTTTACGACAATGCAAAACTGCGATAAAAACAATGACAGTGTACTGTGGAAAACATCAAGATCATGAAAGTCAACATTATATAGACTTCGTATTCTGTGACCAGCATAGTTCTGAAAGAAGTTGGTGGAAACAAGAAATAGTCGATGCTATCTGGTTGACTCACACGGAATCCGAAATTCCCGAATTTGGAATCCGGAAGTGACGTGAAGGCAATGGCAATAATCAGGCAGCGTCAGAACGAGATACGAAGTCATTTCTAGCAAAACTATGGTTGTAAATGCTTATGATTTTTTTTTTCAACTCACTTCAATGGCGTCACTGTCATATTTAGCGATGCCATTCCAGACCACAGATACACGTTTAAGTTGACGAAGATATGTGGCGGTGTACAATTCCTGGAAATCTGTAGGAGACCTGAATTCTCGAAAGATTCTGCAAACGCCAAACGCAGCCGAGAGAACGAAGGTCACGCATAGCAGCCCGTCTAGCGTGAGCAGGAAGATTGAGCATGCTATCAAAAAGAACACTAAGATGTTTGAACTCATAAACCTTACATAACGACACGGTATTGACAGAGTATGAAAACGACACGATGGACGTTTTGCGAGATATACTCACGAACTTGGCATCTGAGGTATTCAGGGAAAGGTTATTGTTGTCACACCATTCAGAGAAAAAAAACACAAATCCGACTGCAGCAAGCTAGTTGACTGACTGAATTTCCATATATATCTTCATGTCATCGACATACCAGAAAAAAAAATGAGAATAGAGAATTGCAAAAGAAACGTCGTTAAGGTAAATTAAAAATAAGAGTGGGTCTAATACCGACCCTTGAGGAAACCCACTAGTAACTTTGTACAAGGAAGACGCTTGGCCATTTAAGGCAACATAACATGATCTATTCACCAGACAGCTGTATAAGAGATCCACAACAGACGAGTCAACATCAAAGATTGCAAGTTTGACTAAGAACAGTGAGTGGCAGACTACATGAAAATTCTCGCTCAGGTCACAGTCACGACCAAAAGTGCCCGCGTTGCATCGGTGTAATTCAATATAAGGACCGTTTAAATAACTCTAGGCCCGTATGTGTCGTTTATTTTGTCATGTTAATCTGTTTTATGCATGGGTTACTAAACAATGATCAACCTAGATCACGGCACGATAAAAAGAACAATGTTAACTGAGCATGCATATTGGGTGCTATACAGAAGCTGTTAGACTACGCTCCATCCTAAAAGCGCCATAGTATGGAAGACCACATCATTCTGCTGTGTTGTTTCCCTTTAGCCTTATGTGTACCTATTTCAATTTATTTTTAAATTTATTAATATTATAGGAAAATCCTTGCACCGAAAATCCCAGATAAACATTTTTTTATTTTTTTTTATTTAGGACTCATTTATTGACAAAACAACACTGCTTTTCTATTACCAAGACGCCGGCATTAAAGCTAGAAATACACCGTATATAGAAGCTAGAAATACACCGTATATAGTAAGCACCCTACACCGTAAATAAAAACAAAAAAACAACGCGTTTTATGGTCGTAATACTTCACACAAATAAAAAATAAACGATATTTTCGATAAATAACAGGCAGACACTTCGTTCACGAAAAGTCGGAACATGCCAATATATCGTATACATGGGGCGATTACGTCGAGAAAATCTGCCCGCTGATACTAATTACGCGACGTGGAACGTAGTAGACGAGCACGGTTATTGGACACTTTTAGTTGGGCGTACGTAACGAGCCCCCGTACGCAGCACTGCCACGGGAGAGAACTGCGCATGTGCAGTACGTAACGTATCATTTCAAAAATGCGCGCGTACGCAAAAAAAAAAAAAAAAGCGCGGCGTGCGTAAACGTGACGAGGCGAGGCGTACGCGGCGTAACGCTCTCGCGATATCTCGATTGAAATAGGAACCAAATAGGAACCAGACACGATGTTGCGCTTCTAGCGGAAGTACAAACCAGCGATATGTTTAGGCACCCCGAGCCGTGGGAAGAGATTGGCGCCTCGGGGAAGTCCTGAAAAAACCATTTACAGCGCGCTGTGTGCGCGAGTGCCTGGACCTGTTGCTGTTTTATTTCTAATAACAAACGTCTAGTTGAACGAAACGTATCTTGGTACGGTCAATACGGTGAACTAAAAGTGTCTTTGAGCGCTTCGCATGTATCGTACGCAACGTATCGTGCCGCGTACGTAGTAGGCTCATTACGTACGCCCAACTAAAAGTGTCTACTGTCACCTACGGTATCGTGAGCACGTTTTTGTTCGTTGTTTTTCTCCATACAAACGTAATATTAATAATTGCTGGCGCACCGCATGCCAAAACCAATATGCATGTACTAAAATGATTATGTGAGACACCGCAATGGGAGACTCCGGATCACTTTCGATTACACACAGTTTTTCAACTTCTCCCATTTCGCCCCCATCGCATTGCGACCGCCGTAACCGGGAAACAACCCCGCTACCTCGAGTTGAGGTGTGCAACACGATGAGTACGGAATAGTAATTCCAATACCACAAACAATTAGTTCACTAAACGTTTGTGTTTCGTGTACGGCCATATCAGGGACGAAGTATAGTGATCTTGAACACAGAATGAAGACCGAGCGCTTCGGCACCGGCGCAATTCGTTCGTTTTGACACCGAAACCGGCTGGGAACTTAAAGACGACGCGTGTAAACAACGCACGGTGGCAGCGACCGCGTAAAACAAACGCTGCCAGCAAGGCTTTACGAATGTCTTACCTTGTTCTCGTTTGGATTCGAGGACGAGGAAGGCTCCTTGTCTCTATTGGGCTTCTTGGGCTTGCACTTGAACTTCGAATTCTTGAGCGACGCCTGATTTTCTTTTGCCATCCCCACAGACGCGACGCGAAGCAGGGCGCCGCCATTAACAGTGAACGCAATGATGATGACAGAAGCGCTGCATGGTGGCGCCGTGCAGCGGCCGGCCAATTTTGCAGTTTTCGTTTGGGTTTCGGTTCCTCTTTTACCAGGAAACACAAGGTGTATCGCCGTTCGGCGGCCTGTTCCAGTGCATTGGACGCAAAAACTGCAGTAGATAATTTTGTAGCTGGTATAAATAAAATTTCTTAACGCCTTACGATTGGGGCTCCAGAAATTCAACCCATAATAATAATTTATCTAATAATAATTTATCTGCACCTGATTTTTCTTTGTAACGTACACTGTTAATTTTATTATTATTATTATTATTATTATTATTATTATTATTATTATTATTATTATTATTATTATTATTATTATTATTATTATTATTATTATTATTATTATTATTATAGTAGTAGTAATAGTAGTAGTAGTAGTAGTAGTAGTAGTAGTAGTAGTAGTAGTAGTAGTAGTTGTTGTTGTTGTTGTAGTAGTAGTAGTGGCAGCAGTGTTGTTTTTTGCTTGAATTTTCCTATCCTCCTTGATAATTTCTCCTGAAGAGTGTCTTCTCCTAAATGCATTGCGTATCATTACTTCACTTTTTTTTTCAATAGTGAAGCTTTTTAAACTTGAGGTTCAATCGATGTTGACGTGAGTGGGCGCCACAATTAGGCGTTTGTGAGAAGTAGCTACGAACATAACATAGAAGTGAGGGTGAGAATGAAGCAGGAAGGAAAGGATGGGGGAGATGGTGAATTGTGCTAGTCTTGACTACAGTATTGCTAAGAAAGTATACGGTAAATGTAAGTGAGGATGAGGAAGAATGATGTAAGGTTTAAAAGGAAAATAGTACACCCTAGAATATCATGTATCAGCGGTATAGAAGAGGGAAGGGCGGGAAAGAGGAACGAAGGGGAGGACCAGTGATCTGGGAGTTAGGAGAACGGAAAGGAGGAGAGAGGCCAACATAGAAATAGGTAAGGAAAGATAAAGAGAACATAAAGGTTAAGGTGACGACGACGATGATAACGATGACGATGATGATGAAAAAGCTTTCAATATCCTGAAACCGTGTTCCCGTGCTCGTAATGATCATGATGATGATCATGATGATGATGATGATGATGATGATGAAAAAGATTTTAATATACCGAAACCGTCAATCCATGCTTGAAAGCTCGGGGTCACCATGGGTGGAAAGGTTCCTCTTTTCAGGCATCCTCTGGCCGCAATTGCCTGCATGGCCCTAGAGACGAGTCCTGGTGGGTCGTGGTGACCTTGGCCTCCCCCGTCTCGGCGAGGAGGTTGGCACGTGTGATCATTTCGGGATTGCTATTGCCCTCTTTGTGGTACACGGGCACTCTTGTTTTAGGTGTGCCCGACGTACGAAGCGATAAAGAAATAACTCAATCTACGTTCGTCCGGCGGTGGTGTTCGCTCAAGCACTCCGTTGTGTGCTCAGGTGTCACAAGCTTCCAGCTATACATTTAACGTTCCTTTTCGGCGTGCGCCTGTCTTGTCCGGGCCCGTTAAATTTAAATGGCGCATGATTTCATTAAAATTACTATCAATAATATTAGCAGCAATAGCAAAATCGGCGTCGGCTTGTGTGTTGCGCTGTGTTTAAGGACATGGAGTACTTGAACTTTACTACGAAGGAGCAGAATACCGTCGCATTACGTTCCGAAAGTGTCCTGCTGTATTATACCTCGCAGCGTATTTAGAACAAGTGCTCAACAAATCACTTTACTTTGTACTTTACAATGGGAGGGCGTAAAGCCGTCTCACTTTGTATCAGCATGAATGAACAGACTGTTTAGAAGAAATGTTCGACAATTTAGTGTAGGATATGCTCTAATATGGTAATTCTTAAACTTGTCCCGGAAGGTTGGCCCTGTGATTAAAAAAGTGCGTAAAGACTTATCTTGTAGAGCAAGATGAATAGCTGCAATGCGACATCAAACAAGGCCACCGTAGGTACTCCCATTTCTAGAAGCAAAATTCTTCAGGCACCATCTATTTCTCAAACCACGGTCAACTATGACTAGCCGGAATTGAGTCAAATTGCCTGTAGCGTATACTTTTGATCTAATGTCTCTTTGAAAAGTAGAATGTGTTTTTATACAGGGTACTATATATTTTTTTCTAGTAATGCAGTTATCCAGCATATTTGAAGTATCAAAGCTCGTACCACTATTGGGGAAAGCTGTGCGAAGAACATAAAATCTACTGCAAAATAAAAAAAATTCGAGTCCGGCGTCTTTTACCGGGGTCTGGGCACCTACCGCGGATGCGGTTCTGACTCCTTGTCTCGAAGCGAATACTTCGGCATCCTGGACGATCCAGAGTTGCACTGTCAGGTTCGAGCTGAGCAGTGTGGTCTTCCAGCGCGAGCGGAGGCTACCGGTGCGAATGCAGATGAATGGCCACTGTTAGAATTTTCTATTAGGCCCTGACACTCTCGCAACATGCGCCTAAGGTTGGCAACCTCGCCACATGGCGTATATCTGTTTGTGTAAACGTCTGTATAAGGTCCGTTCGATTCACCTGCACCGGTCGGAACCGGTTCACGGCTGTGCACTCGAAGTTCAGAAATTGTGCAGCGTGAGTTCAGCCATGCAGGCACAGCACGACACCCGAAACGAATGACGATGTGCCGACAAGGTGCAGGCCTTATTTCTTTTCGCTTAATTTACATCGTTCAGCAAATACTGACCGATGGCAAATCGAACATGCGGACAGTTTATGAGGCGCAAACATCTTGGCAAAACACACCGCATTTGTAGAGGCGGGTTCGGCGCCTAAGCCACCTACGTCTAAGTGCTGCGTCGTCTGCTCAGCTGCACGCGCGCCTGCACCAAGCCGGCACCGTCAGTGAAGGAGGTGCAGGAAAATCATGAACCGGTGCTGCACCTATTCTGCACCTTTCGAAACGAATGGAAGGGTTCAGCGGTCGTCAATGCTGCACCGCTGAAACGAATGGCAAGGTGCAGCACCTCGTGAACTGGTTCATGTGGTGCAGGCGAATCGAACGAACCTATAAATGTTGTGCAGGAGTCTGGGGTTTCTGTAGGAACCTGTTCGTAATTGTCCGAAGTGTACCACCTGCTGTTATGCCAGCGAGTCCTCGTCAAACGACCGTGCCTCTGAAAAAGGCAATCTGGGTCAAAGCCAGCCCGCAGTCTGCCTGGCGCGATCACCTCGACGGCGTGAACACGCGCGGCGCTCCTCTGGCCCACGTGCAGTGAGTCAGTTGCGCACGTGACAGCGAGCCGGCGTCCTCGTGTCAGGTGGTCTGACGCATGGCGCGGCGGCCCCATTGGCGGAATCTGCCCGGACGACCAGCGGCGCTTCTGATTGGACATTTTGGTTGGACCCGGTGTAAATAAAAGAAGCCCTGCGGCGCGTCGCGATCGGAGGTCCTAGGAGAGGAGTCCCCGTGTCGGAGGGCCGACATGTGTGTGAGTCAGCGGTCTTAGGCGAAAGGCTGAACTATGTGTTAGAGAGAAGAGCTCGGCTCTTCGAGTCTCTGTCGGCCCCAGTGCCGAAATTGTAACGCCTCTGTATATATGCTGTACATAAACCTTGTTTGACTCACCGTCGTCTCGTCCGCTCGTCTGAACAGCTCTGCGCAGAAGCAGTCGCGAGCTGAGAAACATACGCTACCAAACGGCTGGTGACCTTCCCGGCGGAGTCGGAAGCAGTGGCGCCTCCGGGGTCGTGTTGGCGTCGCCGTCTTTCGCAACAGTGGTGGCTTCGGCGGGATCGGTCCGTCGTTCGCAACAGTGGTGGCAGCGGTGGGATCGGCCGGCGTCAGCGACATCGATGCGGTGAGTGCCTGATGTTTTCCCCTCAGTTCACCAGACTACTCTAGCTCAGGTTGTAGTAGTTTAGAGAAAGGGCTGTGTGAAGCATTGAAGTGAGCTTTGATCGTTTCAAGCCAAGTTGAAGTGCTTTGAAACCAAAGTTAATGCGGAGGTGGTAAACACGGGAGGGCGAAAAATTGCTTGCGCGTCTTGCTAGTAGGCTTATAGTGGGTACGGCAAGTAGATTCTTAACAGGGGCAAACAGCAAGAGGCTAGTGTGAACGATGGAGAACCTTAAAGTGAAGGAACTCATCGAAATTTGTGAGGAACTCGGCATTACTTTGGGCCGTGCGAAACGAAAGCAAGCGATCCTTGATATCATGAAGGATGAGGGAGTGTCGGCTGAGGAAGTCGATGAGGCCTGGGTGGATATTAAAGCACGCCGTGAGGAGGCTGAAAGGCGAGAAGTAGAAGCTCGCGAACGTGAGGAGGCTGAAAGGCGAGAAGCTCGTGAAGAAGCTGAAAGGCGCGAAGCTCGCGAAGAAGCTGAAAGGCGCGAAGCTCGCGAAGAAGCTGAAAGGCGCGAAGCTCGCGAACGTGAAGAAGCTGAAAGGCGCGAAGCTCGCGAACGTGAAGAGGCTGAAAGGCGCGAACGACGCGAGGAGGCCGAGAGACAGGAGCGTCTCGAGTTGAAACGACTAGAATTGGCAATCCTACAGTGTTCGCAGGCGCCTAGCGTAGCTTCTCCGACGATTCAGGTCAGCGGTTTGAGAATTCGGGACCAACTGCCACCGTTCGTAGTAGGCGAGGACATGGCGAAGTATCTCGTCAAGTTTGAACACGTCTGTGAGCGAAACGCTTTGGAGCGGTGTCTTTGGGCGCGGAACCTGTTAGCTCTTCTTCCCGGCGAAGTGTCCGACGCGATAACTTGCTTGTCGAGGGAAGCGTTTGAGAGCTATGACGAGGTTAAAGAAGTGCTCTTGAGACGTTATAAGTTGTCACCCGAGGCTTTCAGGCAAAGGTTCCGGTATGCTGAAAAGGGGAATGAGTCACACGTTGACTTCGCGTTTCGTCTTAAAGCCGATTTGATTGAATGGCTCAAGGGCGAAGGTGTTTATGACGACCGCGATAAAGTGGTGGAATGCGTTGCATTGGAGCAATTCTACCGCTGCATCGAGGAGGATGTC